TATTTACCTTTTTGCGGCATTCACCTGCAAACATCAACATCAAATAATTTCTGATGCATTACTGAAGGGCCTGTGCATGCATCTCCCAATTTGAAATGAGGGAAATGAGAACACCGAACAGTAATAAAACAACTCTCGATGCTAGTTAAGAAATTGTCCATGCAAATTTACTATGACCGACTGGCGTTATTCGTAAAGACTTTACCGAGCGCAATAGAGCTTTTTTGTGGTACTACACAACGAAGAGAATTTGTGAAATGAGAGGATACGTTAGGGATATGTTTGGGTGAAAGAGAAACAAAAGCTTCTAGCAGTCGTCAAGTATAACAGATGTGGATAAAACGTGGGCTTGCTATAAAAATATGGTTTTTTTACTTGTTTGTGTTAACAAGGACAAAATATTGGGAAAACTTATAAAATAAAGGTTTCTGGTTGTATAGTCTTGCATCTCAATATATTATTAAGTTGAAATAATAAACACATTTGGTAAATGGTGAGATGTTGGTTTTTCACAGACATCGGTTGGTTACATATTCTTACATATCCTTCTAAGAAACATGTTGTGGAATTATAAAACCATAGGTTTGGACATTATATTAATATGTTTTCAAGGAATATCCGAAAATTTTACAGTGAAAATCGTGGGTTAATTTTTTAATAGTTTTTAGACCCATATTAATGGACTTTTTATAAGAACTATAAACATTTCAAAGACCATCAAACCCAAAACATGGATATTCACCATTATTTCAACGGGTATTACAGTCATAGTTATGGTCTTTAAACAATACTGTGCAACATAAAAAAAAAAAATATTATAGGGACAATCCAATAGAATATGAGGAAGAAGTTTTGAAAGTTTACATCGTAAAGCAATCTTACAGCGCCTTTCAACACTTTTTTAACTTTTTGGATTAAAATTAGGTCCTAGAAAATTTTACAAAACGCCAGGAATTCATACACATTAAAAACACAGGTTAGGGTTTCAAACCGTGCTTTATGTGAGTTTATGAAAAAACCACATTAATTGAAAACGTGTTAAAATAACAAATATTATACATAATCAACGGATTTCCAGGAAGAGGGGGAAACTAGAGGAGATACTTTCAATACTCGTGTCTTCTATTTGTAGCTCTATTTTCATAATCTGGACTTTTACTCGAATTATTGGAAAAGTTGAATTTTGTAGCGCATTGTAAAAGTTTTTTTAAGGACTTGAAAATCTACAATCGTAGTCAAATTTGATGTATGCATACCCTCTGCTGTCAAAAAAAAGACTTGGTAAAATCAGTAAGTACCTGAATAAAACCCCAGGAATGGGAGAATACTGTTCTGCTCAATACCTTAGATTTAGTGGATCTATTTGGAAATTATGACGCTGAATAAAAGTAGGGACTACCACATTCACAATGACAAAAATCGGTTTGTTGTATTAATTTTCAATATCAGGACAAAATTTGAAGATTTCCGGTGTTTACAGGGTTGCCCATATTCGACGGACCCATGACTCTTTGGGCCCATTCCAATCGACGAGGCTTGTCCGCAGGCAATATTCTTTGCGTCAATTGAATTTTGTACGGGAACAAATGCAAATCAATGCGAATAATCCGTTGTAAAGTGGACCGAGTCATGCCCAACTGCTGAGAACGGCGTTTTTGGGGTGTTCTTGGGGACCTCTCAACACTGGCTCGTACGGCAGCGATATTCTCGGCCGATCGCCTTGGTCGACTTTTATATGGCCTCTTCGGATTAGAAAGAGCCTTACCAGTCGAAAATGTTTCGTATAAACGCTTAATGTTGTTCTTAGAATGCGCACTTCTCACATGTTTTAATGTTTTAAAAGCACGTTGAGTTTTTACAATTGACTTCTTCTGTTGAATGTAAATTTCAATTATTTCGCGTGGCGTGTATTGGTTCATGGTAAAAATCTGCTTGGACTGACGCTTCAAACACGGTATGTCATTAAGCGATGTGACATCTCTGTCAAAAGTTATGGCGTTGCCAGATGGGTCCGTTGAATATGGACAACCCTGTACTAGAGACATGCATCTATTATTAAGATTAAGAAGATATGCTTCATGTCCCATTTATACCCTCAGCCATACGGCTACAGAGGGTATATATTATTTGATACGGCCAAAACGAAATAATGGTTGTAGACCCTGGGTTTCTTTGGACAAAATCCATTTTGGAGTCGATCTAGGGATGTCTGTTAATCTGTCTGGCTGGTGTGCACGAGGTATCCGTTTGGGTCCAAACTTGGTATATCGTAATTTTTTTTGTTTAGCTTATATCGATTTCGAAAAGAGGGCAACATCGGTCTACTTCTTATAGTACTTCTCTCATAAAAGCTAAAATTTTCCAAGAAAATAAGTTATCTCATAGAAAGAAAGGATCATTCGATTTTGTGCATTATGTTTGTCAGTGCTTAGGTGCGAAAATGAACAATTTCGGCCTACTCCATCAAGTTCCTTCCCCCACAAAGTGTCAGAATTTGTAAAAATTTTAAATCTTATAAAATCGGAAATAAGAGTATGATTGTCTTGAACTTTCACACATTCCAATATTTTTGTTGCCGCGGGATATGGTATGAAAGTGGGATTTATCGTTCTGGTATCTCCACCAAAACCGAAAATTGTTGATAGTCAGAACTGGTAAAACGCAAAACGACCATGTGATTATTTCTTAACTCGGCACATCCCAACTCAAAACCAGGTGTGAAAATGGAATATGTCCAAAAATTGTTTATAACACAAAATCTGGTGCGAAAATGGGATATATGGAGCCACTCCTTCTGGTACCTCCCTCAAAAGGGGCCAAAATTTTGAAAAATATGCGAAGTAAGGATCTGATTCTCTTCAAATTTCACATATCCCAATATCTCAATGTGATTATGGAATTTATTGACGTACATCCTCTATAAACTATTATTAACAATTATACCAAAAACAAGAAAAAAACTGTAAGTTCGACCGGGCCGAACTTTGAATACTTTGGAAAGAATTTGGAAATTTTCAAAAAAAAAAAAAAAATTAAAATAACATTCGCCAAAAATTCTGTTATAATCTTCAAAATACCGAATATAGCCGGACCTTCATAGGCAAATTTTGTCATAAGCCAAGAAATAGGGCCGCTATGAAGCCCTGGACCTGCATAGACAATTTTCTGTTATAGGCTATATTACCCATTACCAACTCTAAATACGAAATTTGAAACAACTCCGGTGAATAATGTCGCTAAAATTATCAAAATACCGAATATTGGAATGTACCATTATATGGAGGCTATACGAAGACGTGGGCTTTCATAAGCAATTTTTTGTCATAGGCTATAGTACCCATTACAAATTCTAGGTACGAAATTTGAAATAACTCCGGAAAATGACGTCCCTAAAATCGTCAAAATATCGAATATCGGGGGGTACCGTTGTATGTGGGCTTTACGATATGGTGGACCTGTATAGATATTTCTCTTTCAGGGAATAAAGTGCTTGAAAAGAACTTCTAGTAAGGATTTTTAGGTAGGTAGTGTTATGTTGGGGATATACGATGTCGTGGACCTATATAGAAAATTTTCTTCCAGTGATTAAAGTACTTACAAATCGGGCAAATTGCAATATTTATCGGAGTTAGTTCACATGAGAAGTCGATAATATTGGTTCACTTCTTTGATATGTCCCATAAAAAGTCAATATTCCTAATTTATACTTTTTTACTTGTTTTGTCGCCTAATTAGCAACTATACTCCTTACATTCACACTTCTTAAAATCAATTTAAAATTATTAATTTAATATAATTTTAATTTAAAATTAAAATTGATAGGTTTTATGTTTAGATTTAATTGATACAAAAAATATAGTTCCTACCTGTATCAATCCAGAGTTCCCATCAACAAACAACGCATTTCTGAATTTCGCATAAATCATCAGTAACGCCATCGGCACCCACATTTTGTCATTTGATGTATTGTCATATCTAAAATAATAAAAGGAATATAATTCATAATGAAATTTATTTTTTCACCTTATGGCATTTTCAAATCATAATTAATAAAATTTGCATCTAATGTAATTCGATATCATAATATTTTTTGGGATCTTTTCTCTCATAAACATAAATTTTTACTAGGAACAATCAGTTTCAAATAACATTGTATGTAGGCTTCCCCCAGCTCAAACATACACACAACGATTTTCATTCATCATTACCGTAAAAGTCATTCATATTATCCATCTCCATCAGTTGAAGGAACCTGACATAATTCATACACCCACACACACGCTTGTTCCGCGTGTACAACCCACATACAAACGTTGTGTACTTGATTTCGGTTAAAAAAAAAACGCAGCCAAAAATTGTGTTAAAATAACAAAAAGAGAATGCATTGCAAAATTAGGGGGGTTTTTTGCAAAGCTTTATTCTCTCCTCTCTAGAGAGTAGAGGAAAATAACAGATAAAGTTCATCTATCTAGTGTATGAAAGTGCCAAACACAAGAACAATGCGTGTTGGTGGTGGCACACAAAAATCAAGTAATAAGGATATGACCTACGCAATAAAAATAAAGTTGCAAAGCCAAAAAATCGCTCACTCTCTCAATATCCTGGGGGATGGGTTGAGGGAAAAGAGAAAACACAAAACATACAATTTTGAGAGAAAAAGGGAGGAGAAAATAAAAATATATTTTTGAAAGTGTCCTATGGCCGTTATAAGTTTTATGTAAAGAGAGCAGAGAGTGAGAGAGAGTTTGTTGTGGGAATTAAAAGAGTTTCAAAAGCTCTTGCTTTCTTTCTCAGGCTATGGTGTTTTATTCGAACTCTCCTGCCGTTATATGCCGTTATTACATGGTCGTTTAAGGATTTTAGTTTATATTGAGCCGTCTCTTCTTCTTCTTCATGGCCAAAGTTGTATAAATGTTTGCTTTGGAATCAGGTGAAATCTTGGAGAGGAAAAAAGCTTTTCAGTCGTTTAACGATATTCGGGCCGTATGGTTGTTATGTTTAAATGAAAACGGACAGTGTTTTGAAAATACAAAAATAAAAACAACAAATTTAATGATAAAGTGAATGAATGTTTGGAAGAAATTAATTTAAAAAAATAATAAAATATTTAATTCATAAAAAATCAAAAAAGACCTCCAGACCCCCTTGCGAAGTAAAAAGTAATATTGTTCTGGCCGTTTTATAATTTGTGTCATTCGTGAAAATCGTGTAACATAACGAGAAAGAATGAAGCTTGAAACCTGATGTTAAATCCCCCAGCGTTTAGAAGAGTTCGTTGTTCGGAAATTGCGAACCTAGAGAAAAAAAAAAAAAAAAAAAAAAAACGAATGCCTTCCTAAAATTTCTCGTGCCTAAAGAGGCCAATAACACTTAGGCCGATTGCTGTCGCACTGGTGTGAATCATTTGAAGTGAATATTAACAAAAACAACAACAACAACAACAAAGAAAAAGTTGGCTAATTTTTCCTACAGGTCCCGCTTGTTTTGCTCCAGTTTGTTTTTTTTAATGAATTATAATATTTTTTGGTGTTGTTGCTCCTTTGCTATAAATTCAAATACATAAATTATGAATAAGAAACCAGCTCCCAAATAAGTGCGTGTTCAGATCACATTTGTTAGTGGCAAAACAGTGAATACGAAAAAAAAAATACTACCACGTGTTGTTTTGTGGACGTCAGTCATTTGTTTGAGTGACAGCCTTTTTTAGTCCCTACCCTCAGACTAACCAACAAACTACTAACTAAAGTTGACAACAACAGCAACTAACGAAAAAAACAAAAACTTTTGCCAAAGTTGATTGCTTTTAACAGGAATGAATTGAAATCCCACGGGGGTACCCTCCAACACTACTCAACCCTCCTCCACCATCAACTAACCACATTTGGCCATTTGACATGAAATTGGGGGGAAAATAAAACTAAACTTAAGTGCGGTTTTTAGCGAGCACCAATTCGTACGTACGTTCGCTCTTTTATTGTTGGCGCTGTCATTTTATCGCTTTATTATAAATTACCCTCTGTCGCTTTTGCCGCGTCTTCCATGGCATGTGAACGTCATACATTGACAGACGCCACTGTCATATGGTGGTAAAGCCACTGGCAACGCCATTCATTGTACGTTGGGTGTTACAAATTACAACAAATTTGTTTTCGTTACGAAAAAATAAAACATATTCCAGTTTTGTGACATACACCCTCACAGCTGTGAACTTTACACAATGCAACAACAACAAGCTACTGCTGCTGCTGCCCAGCCGGAAAGAGACCAACTCAAACAGATAAATGCAATTTTGTAAAGTTTTTTTCTCATCATTGTTGCATTTCCATTAACGTTCTGACATTGACAATTTCGTTTTGTCTGTTTCCATCTATGATGACTGCCTGCCCTGCTGACTGGCTAACTGACTGACTGGCTGTCTTTGACACTTGGCAACTAACAACTAAGTAATTCATGGTAAGTATTTTTCTCTTCCTCTCTCTCTTTCTGTATTTCGTTACATTTGAGTGAGTGAGTGAATGACTGACATTTGAACAAATGATGGTACATTGACAGTTTGAAATGTAAATATTTTGTTACACTGAAATGGAATGAAATTACAACATGGTCACAAAGGAATAGTGGCAACAAGCATATACACAAATACATACACAATGTTTGTGTGGAAAGTGTTTGCTAATATTTCACTTTGAAAGCTGAAGGTTTGTTCAAATATAGGTTACGTTGACAAAAAGGGAAATTTTGATTGTTTGCAGTAATCGGCTTGTGGTGTGCCGTAAATTTGGAAAATTATTATATTATTTTGGAAAATTATTATATTTAATTATATTTATTATTTATTTATATAGGGTTCATTTAGGGTTAGTATAGGGTTCTTGTCAAAAATCTGCTCCCAGTATCATCCATCCAATATCTAGTATTGTTAAAAAATCATATTTTCAAATAAAACAAACCGAATTCCACTTTTGGGTTTAAAGTAAATTATCGAAATCTGTGCTTAAAGCCGGATTTAAAACTTTAGCCTTGTCGTTTGGTGCTGGATTTCGGTGAGAATGTCAACTCGTTAGGAGCCGACAATGAAAAAAAAAACAAGTTAAAAAGCAGTTAAGTTCGGCAGGTCCAAATTTTTTATACCATCCACCAAATGATGAATTTTTATTAATTCCGCTATATGCATATATAAAGGTATAGGGTTCTTGACAAAAATCTGTTCCCAGTATCATCCATTCAATATCTAGTATTGTTAAAAAATTATATTTTCAAGTAAATCAATCCGTATTGCAGATTTGCGTTTAAAGTAAATTATCGAAATCTGTGCTTGAAGCCGGAGTTAAAATATAAGCCTTGGCGTTTGGTGCTGGATTTCGGTGAAAAAGTCAAGTCACAGGGTTAGAACTGTTAGTCACAGGGTTAGAACTGTTAAGTTTGGTAGGGCTACACTTTTCATACCCTCCACCAAATGCTGCATTTTTAATAATTCCCCAAGAATTTATGTGAAAAATCGTCAAAATACAAAATCACACGAAGTACCTTTATATTGGGGCTATTGGAAAATGTAGGCCTATATAGACAATATGTTGCCACATGAAGAAGAAACCTTAATAAACTCAAAATACCGGGGTGAATATTATATGGGGCAATACGAAAACGTGGATCTACACAGACAAAGTTCTAGTACAGAAGCCATAATAGATGTTCGGTATTTAGAGTTCTATTAGAGTTCTACAGAAGACATAATAGATGTCTTCTGTACTAGAACTCTAAATACCGAACAAACCCTACATACCGAATTTTAAGTTATTGCGACAGAAAATGTGGCTGGAATCAATCATCGGTTAGAAGATGTGGCTACAATCATCAAAATACCAAAAAAAAAAAAAAAAAGAAGACTGTTAAATGGGGGATATACGATATCATAGGCCTCTATAGACAATACTCTTTCAGGTGGTAAAGTACTCACAAAGAACTCCTTGTGTAGAATTACAGACAATTCCATTGAAAAATGAGTCTAAATGAAATCGGGAGGTACCGTTATAAGGAGGCAATACGATACAGTGGACCGATAGAGCCCAACTTCTAACGTGATCTGCCAACAGACTGATCTCTGTAAAATTTTAGCTTCCTATCTTAATTCGTTTATTTTTAGCGTGATTACAAGATGGAGAGGGCTAAAGCGTCTTAAAATTTTAGGCTGATCAGGAATATACAGGATGAGATGAAAAATCTGCAACAAAGTCAAACGCCATCATTTTTTTTTAAACTTTATTGAATGAAAGCAAAAAATGTCGGAAATAGCATTAAACTTTTTAATAAGTTTAGATTTGTTTGAATTGGTCTCGTTTGGCACGAATAATGGTCTTCAAACGGCCAATGAAATCGTCACACGCTGCCCGAATGTTGGTCTGCGGTATTTTGGCCCATTCCCGGCGAAGCCCTTGCTTTAGGTGATCGACACTGAGTGCTGAGTGCGATGATGCTGAGTCCTGTTGGAATGTCCAAGGTCTGCGGCCAAAATGTTTGCGTGCCCAAAGCTTTAATACACCCTGCAGAATATTTTCGCGATTATATTCGCTATTTATTCTGATGCCACGGTCGATTAATACCAGCGGCGAGCGACCATCGGCTGTTATGGCGGCCCACACCATCACCATGGCTGGGGCTTGTGTTCTGATGGCCGAGGGTGCACATTTTCAGCTGACCTCTTAGGCAAATAAACACGATCATTTTGTTTGTTTATCAACTGCTGGACAACGAATGTTTTCTCATCGGAGAGAGCCACATTCGTCAGTTCATCACTTTCGGCCAAGCGAAGCAAACCTTTAGCTCATTTGAACCTATTTTCTTTCTGTTGCGCTGTAAGTTCTTGGACTTTTTGGAATTTCAATGGCTCTACCACGAGCTCATGTTGCAATATTTGCCGAATGGAATATTGCGATATGTTCAACTCACGAGCCAATTTCCGGCCACTGCGACGCGGGTTTCGATCAAGTCGCCTCTTTACATTTCGAACCATTTCTGCTGATGTTGCTGTTTTCTTCCGTCCACTTTCTTGACGTCGAGCTACGCTACCAGTATCACGGTAACGAGCGATGGTACGAGACACAAAAGATTTATTCACATTTAAATGCTGGAGTGCCCTAACGATAGCCACTTGTGGTTTTCCAGCCAAATAAAAAGAAATCACACAATCACGCTTAAATTCCATCACGAGTAACTTTTTTCTGGAAAATTCCCACCAAAATGCTTTCGTACACTTATAAACAATAAAATGAGCTGTCACTGGAATAATTTTAAACGCTGTCGGACGAGTGGCTTTTAAATGACAACATCATGAATTTACACTTATAAACAATAAAATGAGCTGTCACTGGAATAATTTTAAACGCTGTCGGACGAGTGGCTTTTAAATGACAACATCATGAATTTGGTTGCAGTTTTGTCATCTCACCCTGTATATCCGATATCTTGTTTAACAGCATAACTGAATTGATCAGAAGTGGCCTTTTAATGTATTTGTGATTTCGCCGGGATTAAAAAAAAAAACGCGGTTTATTTAGTGATTTATTTTACCCGCTAAATATTGCTCGATGATCGGCTAAACTCCTACCCAGACCTAATCCTAACTCTATGCAAAATTCCATGTTGATTTGTTTATTATTGTATCCTGTAGAGCAACAGCAAAATCAGGAAAATTTTCAGTTTTTTTTTTTCAAATTCATGAGAATCATAATTCAATCAAAATTCTGTAGCGTGATTACAAACGACGGACGGACATACATAGCTACATCGTCCCTGCTCGCGAGATAGGAGGATTCAAATATATTTTCTTATGTCTGGGACCAATATTTCAAGGTGTTACATTATTTTTGGCCCAATCAAGCTGATCATACCCCCAACACTTAGTACTGTAGCGTATAAATATCCATAAATAATAAAAAATAAAAATATTTTTAAAAATCCAACATTTTTTATAGTTTGACAGATTTTGAAAAAATTTCCAAAAATTCGTAATTTTTTTGTCAACATGAATTTGAAAAAAAAATTAATATACAATTTTTTGTCCAGTTGGATATTTAAAGCCCTCTTAAAAATCGGTTATTAGTATAGGCGGAAGTCCCTGAAAATATTTTTACAATACATGGAAGAGAAGATTTCTTTTAAGAATTGGCTATTCTTAGTCTGCGAAAACTTTTTGTTTGAAGTTTCTAAGTATTATTTTGTAGCGTTACAGGAAATTATTATTTTTTTTTTTAAATGGTTAACCTATCTGGGTAGCAGAAAAAATTGACCTGTATTTTCCAATCCCAGAGAATTAAAAATGTTATGATATTTGAAATTTGATTAAGTTCGAAGGCAATTGGATACTGATTTCGAATTTTATGACAAAATTTTATTTTACGAATTTTATTTTATGGGGCCACGAGTAATATTTTAATTAAACTTGTGAAAATTAAAACTCTTAGTTCGGAGATGTATTGGCCACTTCAGCCTAATCCCTTAGATTCTTCTTCATAAAGTAGTAAACATCTGTGCATTGAGCATTTTATTAAAATGTTCAATCCTAATCTGATTTTTTTCACCTTTTTCAGTTCCGATTTTCAACCTAATAATATTCGAATAACTTTCTGTAAAATATGAAAATTGACCCACGTTATATTAAACTAATTTCCTGGTAACAATTGTTTCACTATCACACAAAGGATATGATACAATTTTAACATTTTTTAAATTAATTTAAAAACTTGTAACACGCTTTCTCTAAGAATATCTACTACCAATTTCATTGTCATTGTAAAAATTATAAATAGATTAAAACGCAAAGGTATAAAACGCCTTAAACTAGACATTTTCAATTTGTACAAAAATTATCGTGTCTTGTCTACAATTATTTCTACATCAACTATAATTAACAAGTCAATATTAATAACAGACTATTCTAAAAATAATCTAAACACTAACACTCTATTAATTTGTTGGATTTTGTTAATAAATATTCAAAAGCTGGTTCTCAAACTTTTTAGTTGTTCGTGTTTTTTTTTTTTATTAAGTGCCACAACCAATCTTTGTTGTTCGCTGCTGTCGTTTTCTTCTGATTCCTAGCCTTCATTTCGTTCGCATTAATTTTCAATTCTTGTTTAACAAATTATACCAATGGGAGTTTATTAGTTGGCCGCCCGCTTTTCTTATGGCTGCCATGGCGAAGGATTTTAGTTCCTTGGGGATATTGCCGACATGTATTGAATAATATGTGTTTACAATGGTGGTTCGTCTCTCCGTCTGTCTGCCTGTCTGCCCGTTGTTTTCATTTCCACCAGCCTTGGCATGTAACAAGTAAAGATCAAGCAATAAATTAAAATCGTATCTTGTCTGCTAGAATAATAAAGGCAGTTTTAGTTTAGAACAACAGCAGCATCAATGTTTTTTATGACTTAGGGATCTGCGAAATCAATTTGTTT